CTACTTAATTAAAGGAAAATTTTGACTCAGTGATTGCAACTTCTTGAAATATTAATACATTGTCAAATAAAGCAGGGAAAAATATCAGTTTGAATTGGTCAATCTACTTCTGTGCAACAAGCAACTTAAATGCCTTCCTCTGGGATATATGATGATCCTTTCCCATTGTGTATTCTTTTTTTGCTCTTGGCTCTGTTTGCCTTTTGTTTTGTCAGACCACTTTCAATCTAACTCAATCTTTTATGCTAACGAAATATTATTTTTGGGGCCAGCAAAATCAAATTTCACGAATGCACTCAAATCTCAAATCAAACATTTTTTCTTTATACATTTCATGATTCTTTTTGTACGCAAAAGTAGTTTTCAAAGATGAATCTATATATAATTTTTTTATTGGAATGAATATCATGTGTAATAAGGTCTTCTTTGACCTGGCACAGCCAGCACTTGGAACGAACAAGGTAACCCAACCCATCAAGGAGAGACCCATCTCCCCAGTCCACACTCCACGCCATATTTGGAAAACTGTGAAACTTGCGTCCAGTCAATGCTATTATTTACTGTTTCTTTGGCCAATCAATGCCAGTTGAGCCGCACTTTCCTAAATTTGATGCTATTTTTTTCCCCTAAGAAGGATCAAGAAAGAACACATTTGTTTCCCAACTAAAGAAGAACAATTCAACTGAGAAATGAGAAAACGGGAAACTTTTTCCAATTAAGAATTCTGAAAGCTGATCTTTTCTAGTTACTGCAACTGGGGTTTTAATAATGGGTTTTTGGGGAAAGTTTCTCTTTGTTTCTCTGTTTTTAATCCACCCCCCTACCGTCAGTAGTTCCCAGCAAGAACTGGAGTTCATAGAATGTTTATTGAGCAGGGGAAACTTCACCAATAATAGCGCCTACCAGGCAAGCCTCAATCATATCTTCTCTTCTTTGACCTCTGACTCGCAAAATGATTATGGGTTCTACAATGTTTCTTTCGGCCAAAATTCGGACAAAGTTAACACAATTGCCCTCTGCAGGGGAGATGTGAAGCCTGGTGATTGCATTAGCTGCATCAACTATGCTGCCGCCGAGTTCAGAAGAATCTGTCCCAACCAGAAGGCAGCAATTCTATGGTATGTCAAATTGCATGTTGCGATACACATATCTTCGTATCTTTGGCATCAGAGTAGACGCTGTTACAAGTTTGACTACAAGTGGAATGGATACAAGGCAAAGAATATGACTGCTTTCAATGAGACACTCTAATCTGTTGGATACCCTGAAAAGAAGAACCGCATTGGGTGATTCCCATCGCAAGTTTTCAACTGGAACGGCAGCAGTTCCAGATTCAGAGACGATTCACACACTTGTGCAGTGCACTCCTGATTTGTCTCAGACTCTCAGCAGCAGTGTACCTCTTGCTTGTCTTATGGCAAATTGAAGTTCGTTGTAACGGAGGGCTAGGAGGCAGAGCGGTTGGACCTAACTGTAATTTGAGGTTGGAGACGTATTCTTTCTATGATCCTACTCCTGATGAGCTGTCAATATTGCCACCACCATTGCCGCAGCCAGAGCCACCAGTCTCCTTTGCCGTCAGATGATACTCTCAAAGTTATACCAGGTACTGCACCTTTGCTTAAAGTTTGTTCTGAGTCAACGCCGGAATTCCAAATCATTTTGGCACAAATGAGAGGACTGCATGGATTTTGCAGGAAAAGAGGAGAATTCATCTCGAGTTATCATCATTATAGTCACTTCAGCTGTTGCTTTTCTCATACTTAACATCTGCAGCTGCATCTGCATCTTTTCCAGGATGAAGGAGTCAAAGAAGAGAAGAAAGCTAAAGCAGGAAATTAAAGGTAACTTTTGTTCTTGGTGAATCCATTGTTGTCTCGTCGTAGCCTAGGCTAAGAAAGTTTAAGAAAAGGGTTAAAAAAAAAAAAAAAGGATGGTTAATGATTTACGTAGCTATGAAGTCAGTCCCATGGAAGATGACCAAACATGGCAATGCTAATCACATTTTTTATTTTATTAATGAAGACGTACATAAGGATAATAGTGTTGAAGCCTTGCAATTTGACTTCGACACAATAAGAATGGAAACCGAGAACTTCTCCAGCATGAACAAGCTTGGACATGGTGGATTTGGTGCTGTTTATAAGGTAATTACAATTGAAGGGGTGATAATGACTTTTTGTTGTTTATATCCCTACAGAATGACAAGAGGAAAAAAAAAATCTTATTTCTGACGAACTGTATTAGATACCTTGTTTCTAATTCTTCAAAGATAGGTTCATTAAGTATTGTTTCCGCATTCAGGGCAAGCTTCTGAATGGAAAAGATATAGCTGTGAAGAGGCTTTTGGAAAGTTCTGCTCAAGAAGAGCTAGAATTCAAGAATGAAGCTAGGTTAATGGCAAGACTTCAACATAGGAATTTGGTTAGGCCGCTGGGTTTTTGCTTGGAAGGAAATGAAAGGCTTCTGATATATGAGTTTGTTCCTAGCTCAAGCCTCAACCACTTCATATTCGGTATGGTGGCAACTCCCATTCAGCTTAAGAAGTAAATTCCCTTGGGTTTATGTGGCATGGATGACAAGGCAGAAAATGTTTGAACATTTTGTTTGCAAGCAGTATTTTTTGATGCATTTAAACTTGTTATTTTTGTGAATTTGCAGATCCAATCAAATGTTTACAACTAGAATGGGGTACTAGACACAAAATCATAGGGGGAAGTGCTAAAAGGATTCTATACTTGCATGAAGATTCTTATTATCGAATCATTTGTCATGATTTAAAAGCAACCAATATTCTATTAGATGCAAAAATGAATCCCAAAATTTCAAACTTTGGACTAGCAAGGTTATTTGTAGGAGATCAAACTCAAGTAGATACAAGAAGAATTGCTGGAACATTGTAAGTATAAGAAACCTTGGACACATTTTAGTTACTTGATTAACAAATCTTAACTTAGCTCTTCATGCATTCAGTGGATATATGTCTCCAAAATACATAAAAAAGGGGCATATTGCAGTTAAATCTGATGTTTATAGCTTTGGCATGCTAGTTTTAGAAATTATCAGTGGCCAAAAAGTTCATCTCAATATTTGGGAAGATGGGGACGATCTTCTAACTTTTGTAAATTTCTTGTGTAGTAGGAATCGATGAAACTCATTGAAATCAATTTGAGAAATTGTGTAGAATTCTCCTTTAACTATCCACACATCATTAAATCTTTGCAGGCATGGAAAAATTGGATGGAGGGGACAGCTCTAAATTTAATAGATCCCATTATGAGGGATGATTCTAGTGATGAAATGATGAGATGTTTCCAAATAGGCCTACTATGTGTTCAGGAAAATGTTGCTAGAAGACCAACCATGGCTTCTGTTGTTTTGATGCTTAATAGCAGCCGTGGATCATCTCTTCCATTGCCATCAAAACCATCATATTATATGCAATCTGTCATGGAGCCAGAGGCATCTACAAACGGACCAGCTCAATGCACAGTGAACAATGTTTCAATTTCCGATCTAGCTCCTCGATAGAGTTTGAGACTAGGAACAGTATTATTTCAGTGATTAACTACTTATTCTTCAACACTGCAACGGGTTTGTATTATTTGACCAATAAGCCTATTAAGCAACTGTTCCTAGGCAATGTTTCATTACCGGGTTCTTCTTCTCTGCGTGCTTACATTCATGAGGTTTGACATTGCTGAATCTGTTAACTGCTACAGTACTGGGAACTTCACCGTAAACGGTATGTATGGCAGGAACCGCGACCTCGCTCTCTCTTCTTTAGCCTCTAATACCTCAGAAAATGGTGGTTTCTACAATACCACCGTTGGTAAAGATCCCAATAAGGTATATGCTCTAGCGCGTTGCAGGGGAGACCAGTCTGCAAAGGATTGTTCCAGTTGTATCAATTCGACAATCCAAGATTTCATCACCAACTGTCCAAACCAAAAAGAAGCAGTTTCAATGGAAGACAGTACGATGCACAATGCAAACTGTTGCTTTTTCGGAAATCTTATGCTATCTCCTAGAGTTTCAATTCACTAATACAGATGACCTCACCATGAATTTGGCACAGTTTGATTAGATTTTGGAGAGTTTAATGGATGGCTTAGTGGGAAATGCTTCTGCTGTAACTTCTAGACTTAAGTTTGCCACAGGAGAAACAAAGTTAACAAAATTTCAAACAAATTTTGCCCTTATGCAATGCACTTCTGATTTATCACAAGGGGATTGTGATTTCGGCCTGAGGCAATCCGTGGGTGATTATGAAAACTGTTTCCATGGAAAGAGAGGGGGTGTTGTTCACAAAGCGAACTGTTTTTCCGATGGGATTTGTATCCCTTCTATACCCCTGTTCCACCTCCACCTAGCAGTCCCCCGCTACTTTGAGCGGTCGTCCGTTTTCAAATTCAAATAATAACACAACCGCAGAAGGTAAGTACATCTTTCCTTGGAGAAATGGATTTTAATCAGATTGGGTGGAAACAAAATATGATTGTACTTGGTTTATGTATAACATCAAAAGGATGCATAGAAATCTGATCAATTTTATTAGAGATTTATTCTAAAGCATGTTAAGTAGCTACCAACATGTTTCTGATTTTGCAGAAAACAGGCAAATTGCTACAGACTGTTATAATTGTTGTTGTTGTTGGTTCAACCACTGGTTTCATGGCAATTCTTGCCATCACTTGTTCCCTTCTCCGAAAGAGATGGAAGTCAAAGCAGGAAGTTAAGGGTGAGTGTTGTTTGATAGGAACAACAAGAAAACATGTCATGATTAATTAGGCTGTAGCTGTAGGCTTGGTAAAACAAAATGATAGTTAATGATCGATGAATAAAGTCAGGGCCTCATGGAATTTGTTCATGTGTTAACTCACTTTTTTTCCCTATGAAGGTGTGGATGAAAGTATTAGTGCTGAGTCCATGCGATTTGACTTCGGTACAATAAGGGTTGCCTGCCACTGATAACTTTTCCAACCAGAACAAGCTACGATGAGGTGGATTTGGTGTTGTTTATAAGGTATCTCCACCTATTCTATCATGTGTTTAAGTACTTTTCCCTTATGCTTATAAATAGTTTATAACCCAAGACAGTTTTTCTTTTGTTAATACCCTACAGTTGAAAAGCCTTCATCCTATCACAGGAATTTGGTTAAACTCCTAGGTTTTTGCTTGGAAGGGAATGAAAGGCTTCTCATCTATGAGTTTGTTCCCAACTCAAGCCTTGATCACTTTATACTCCGTGCATTCTCTCTTCGTTTCACCTTAAGAATTAATTCTTGTTCGTTTTATTTGTGATGCATGACCTGAACTTGTTTGAAATTATTTTTTTTAGAGAAACTCTGTTTTAGTATTGTACCTCCTTTGCAACAGCTAATAGTATTTCTCTCTCTGATGTATTTAAACCCATTAATTTTGTAATTTTTTGAATTTGGAGATCCAATCAAACCTTTACTATTAGATTGGAACAAAGATATAAAGTCATAGGGGGAATAACTAGCCGGATTCTGTACCTTCATGAAAATTCTTAATATTGAATCATACATCGTAATTTAGAAGTTGCAAACATTTTGTTAGATGCAAAAATAAATTTCAAATTTCAAATTTTGGTATGGCAAGGTTATTTGCTGGGATCAAACGCCAGCTAATTCAAGTAAAATTGTTGAAACACTATAAGTATAAGAATCACACTATAATCACATTATAAGTACAAGAACCACCTTTTAGTTACCGTTTTGTGTGGTCTAAATATAGGAATCCTCAATTCAGCTATTGAACCCAGTGGATATATGAATCTAGAGTATATAACAAATAAAAATTTTTCGGTTAAGTCTAATGTTTATAGTTTTGGTGTGCTAGTGCTTGAGATCATTAGTCATCAAAAAGTCTATCTTAGTAATGGAGAAGAAGGGGAGAATCTTCCAACTAATGTAAGTGATACTTAAGATTAGCTTCATTTTGTAGTGTTTTAAGAGTCAAATAATGATGCCAGGAATTGAGAGAATGTATTTTTAAGGCTAAAATATTTAGAGATTTTTCAATTTATGCAGGCATGGAAACATTGGATGGAATTAAGGGACTGCTCTGAATTTTATAGATCCGATCTAGAGGGATGGCTCGAGGAGGGCAATGTTGAGATGCATGCAGCTAGGCTTACTATGTGTTCAAGAAAATGTTGCTAGAAGGCCAATTATGGCCTCTGTTGTTCTCATGCTTAGTAGCATCTCTGTATCTCTTCAAATGCTCTCAAAACCAGCATCTCTTATGCACCCTATCATTAAGCCAGAGTCCTAATCATTTGCATCTGCATCTGCTCAATCCAGACGAAGATCCACTGATTTCTTAGTAAATGAGGCTACGACAACTGATTTTGATCCTCGATAGCGTTTGTGAATGAAGTTGTAAATTTATAATGCTTTTGTGAATAATCAGCACTATGTTGACTTTGTACTACTATATAAACTTGGTTTGTTTGTCTTGCAAAATTCTTCTTTGAGTAGGTAGGTTCATCGTCACTTAATCTTAAGTTAGTTTAATCCAAGCGATTTGAGTGTAGAGTTAGCAACCGAAGCAGACATGTTATTCAACAAATCTAGAGACTGTATTATATAATCTTGGGATCACTTTGTTTTGGTAACGTGCTTCATTTATTGATGAAGGGATTAGTTTGACAACTCCAGCTCTATTTCTTTGTACACCAATCTAGTCTAGTCTAGAGTATAATAAAAAAAGGTAGTACCTCTCTTTTCTATTTCTATATCCCTCTAAAATAACTCTACTTACCCCTATTTCTTTCATATGCTCTTATCTCTCTCTAAAAGAAGTTGGATTGGATGGTAATATTGTAAAATTCAAAGAAAATGACAAAAAAAGTTTCCTTGCACATTTGCCATCCCTTTGTGAGAGGCTGGGATTTTTGTGATTTTTGGCAACCTTTGGGCTTTTGTTACTTTGTCTCTCGTTTGCTACAGTTACGGGGCTTTATGAGAGGGAGGCATTATTGTGAATTTCGGCAACTTTTGGGCTTTTGTTAATGAATATTTATAATTGAAATACATATTTTGCACCTCAATTTTATCTCTCAAGCCATTTTTACATCTAAACCATTTAAGGTCCTTTTTTCCCATTTTCTTTTTTCACAATGTTTTTGTTTTTGTTTCTTTTGGTTTCCTCCGCTTATATATTTTGATTTAAGTATTATTTTATTTTTATTCTAATAACATTAATTGAACACTTTAGCTAAAAAAAGTAAGGAGGTAGTTGAAAATAGAATAAATTTTAATAAGTAAATATATATAGTATTACATTAAGTGTGCATAATTAAGGTCACTTTTTTACATATATTTTATTTTATTTTATTGTATATTTCTAACAATATTTTTCTCTTTTTATAAAATATAAAAATAATTCCAAAAACCTGCATGGTGGGTTAGAAATGCTAGTATTAATAATGCTTAGAACTGCTAGGTGGTTCACATTTTCCACGATTTTTATGAGATACGTGTATCGGGTGCTACTTAATTAAAGGAAATTTTTGCCTCAGTGATTGCAACTTCTTGAAAGATTAATACATTGACTTGCTTGTGGAGTGCTGGCCGAGAAAATTTTTCCTTTTTTTTAAGTAAATATAAATTTTAAGAGAAAAAATTTAAATTAATATTGTGTTGGTAAAAATGCGTGTATAAAAAGCCAGTCTAGTTGACCATAACCCTTGAAATTGTCGAATGAAGCGATAGTAAATGGTATTATAAGAATAATTTTTTTATATTATTTTTTGATATAATTTTTATATATCATTAAATGAATATATATATATGTAATATTACGAAATTATAATAATCTAATGATATAATTATCATGTGTAATAAGGTCTTCTTCGTCCTGGCACAGCCAGCACTTGGAACGAACAAGGTAACCCAACCTCGTCAAGGAGAGACCCGTCTCCCCAGTCCACACTACACGCCATATTTGGAAAACTGTGAAACCGGCATCAAGTCAATGCTATTATTTATTGTTTCTTTGGCCAATCAAATGCCAGTTGAGTCTCACTTTCCTAAATTTAATGCTATTTTTTTTCCCTAAAAAAGATCAAGAAAGAACACATTTGTTTCCCAACCAAGGAAAAATAATTCAACTGAGAAATGAGAAAATGGGAAACATTTTCCAATTAAGAATTCTAAAGGCTGATCTTCTCTAATTTCTGCAACTGGGGTTTTAATATGGGTTTTTCAGGAAAGTTTTTCTTTATTTCTCTGTTTTTAATCTGCATCCCTACCCTCTGTAGTTCCCTGCAAGCACTGGAATTCAAAGAATGTTTATTGGACAGGGGAAACTTCACCAATAATAGCGCCTACCAGGCAAGCCTCAATCATATCTTCTCTTCCTTCACCTCTGACTTACAAAATGATTATGGGTTCTACAATGTTTCCTTCGGCCAAAACTCAGACAAAGTTAACGCGATTGCCCTCTGTAGGGGCGATGTGATGCCTGGTGATTGCATTAGCTGCATCAACGATGCTGCCACCGAGCTCAGAAGAATCTGTCCCAACCAGAAGGCAGCGATTCTATGGTATGTCAATTGCATGTAGCGATACACATATGACATATCTTCCTATCTTTGGCACCTTGAGTAGAAGCTCTTTGAACTTTCACTACAAGAGGAAAGGATACAAGGCAAAGAATATTACTGCTTTCAATGATACCCTTAATAATCTATTGGATACCCTGATAAAAAGAGCTGCATTGGGTGATTCTCATCGCAAGTTTGCAACTGGAACTGCAGCAGTTCCAGATTCAGAGACGATTCACGCACTTGTGCAGTGCACTCCTGATTTGTCTCAGCAGCAGTGTACTTCTTGCTTGTCTTATGGCAAAATTGAAGTTTTTTGTAACGGAGGGCTAGGAGGCAAAGCATTTGGACCTAAATGTAATTTGAGGTTTGAGACGTATTCTTTCTATGATCCTACTCCTGATGAGCTGTCAATATTGCCACCACCATTGCCGCGGCCAGCACCACCACAGTCTCCTTTGCCCTCAGATGATACTCGCAAAGTTGTATCAGGTACTGCATCTTTGCTTAAAGTTTGTTCTGAGTCAACACAAGAATTCTGAAACATTTTGGAACAAATGAGAGGACTGCCTGGATTTTGCAGGAAAAGAGGGGAATTCATCTCGAATTATCATCATTATAGTCACTTCAGCTGTTGCTTTTCTCATACTTAACATCTGCAGCTGCATCTGCTTCTTGTACCGGATGAAGAAGTCAGAGAAGAGAAGGAACCTGAAGCAGGAAATTGAAGGTAACTTTCGTTCTTGGTGAATACATTGTTGTCTCGTTGTAGCCTAGGCTAAGAAAGTTTAAGCAAAAGGGCAAAAAAAAAAAAAAAAAAAAAAAAAAAAGAAACAAAAAAAAAAACAAAAAGGATGGTTAATGATTTACGTAGCTATGAAGTCAGCCCCATGGAAGATGACCAAACACGGCAATGCTAATCTCATTTTTTAATTTTTTAATGAAGACTTAGATATGGATAATAGTGTTGAAGCCTTGCAATTTGACTTCGACACAATAAGAATGGCAACCGATAACTTCTCCAGCATGAGCAAGCTTGGTCAAGGTGGATTTGGTGCTGTTTATAAGGTAATTACAATTCAAGGGTGAAAATGACTTTATCTTGTTTATATCCCCACAAAATGAAAAGAGAAAAAAGAAAAAATCTTAGTTCTGACAAACTGTGTTAGATACTGTGTTTCTAATTCTTCAAAGATAGGTTCATTAAGTATTGTTTCCACATTCAGGGCACGCTTCTAAGCAGAAAAGATATAGCTGTGAAGAGGCTTTTGGAAAGTTCTGCTCAAGGAGAACTAGAATTCAAGAATGAAGTTAGGTTAATGGCGAGACTTCAACATAGGAATTTGGTTAGGCGCTGCTGGGTTTTTGCTTGGAAGGAAATGAAAGGCTTTTGATATATGAGTTTGTTCCTAACTCAAGCCTCAACCACTTCATATTCGATATGGTTGCAACTCCTATTTAGTTTAAGAAGCAAATTCCCTTGGGTTTATGTGGTATGGATGACAAGGCAGAAAATGTTTGAACATTTTGTTTGCAAGCAGTATTTTTTGATGGATTTAAACCTGTTATTTTTGTGAATTTGCAGATCCAATCAAGCGCACGTTTACAACTAGATTGGCGTGCTAGACACAAAATCATAGGGGGAATTGCTAAAGGGATTCTTTACTTGCATGAAAATTCGTATTATCGAATCATTCACCATGATTTAAAAGCAGCCAATATCTTGTTAGATGCAAAAATGAATTCCAAAATTTCAGACTTTGAACTAGCAAGGTTATTTGTAGGGGATCAAACTCAAGCAGATACAAGAAGAATTGTTGGAACATTGTAAGTATAAAAAACTTTGGACACATTTTAGTTACTTGATTAATAAATATTAACTTAGTTCTTCATGCATTAAGTGGATATATGGTTCCAGAATATATAAGGAGAGGGCATATTTCAATTAAATCTAATGTTTATAGCTTCAGTGTGCTAGTTTTAGAAATTATCAGTGGGCAAAAAATTCATCTCAATATTGAGGAAGATGGGGAGGATCTTCTAACTTTTGTAAGTTTCTTGTGTAGTAGGAATTGATGTAATTTATTGAAATGAATTTGAGAAATTGTGTAGACTTCTCCTTTAACTATCCACATATCATTAAATCTTTGCAGGCATGGAAAAATTGGATAGAAGGGACAGCTCTAAATTTAATAGATCCCATAATGAGGGATGGTTCTAGTGGTGAAATGATGAGATGTATACAAATAGGCCTACTATGTGTTCAGGAAAATGTTGCTACAAGACCAACCATGGCTTCTGTTGTTTTCATGCTTGGTAGCAGCCCTGGATCATGTCTTCCATTGCCATCAAAACCAGCATATTATATGCACTCTGTCATGGAGCCAAAGGCACCTACAAACAGACCAGCTCAATTCACAGTGAACAATATTTCAATTTCCGATCTAGATCCTCGATAGAGTTTAAGACTAGAAGCAATATTATCACAGAGAAAAAACACATACTCCAAAACACCAAAACGGGTTTATAATATGACAAAAAAGAACATAAAAAAAAACTGCCCCGACAAAATTTTCACAAAACAAAAAAACCAAAAACATAAACCAAAAAAAAAAAAAAAACCCAAAACATAAGGAAAAGACAAAAACGAAAATTAGATTGACAACAAAAGCAAAAAAAGAGCACGACATGGAAAACAGAGGTACGGAAAACTGACAACATGAGATCCAAAGATGTGGAGAAAAGTCAACAGAATATCAAAAAAGAGGGGAAAAAGACAAAAGACCAAAACACAACAGAAAAAAACCAAACATAACAAGAAAAAAAACAGCATACAAAGAAAACAAACAGTAGCAAAAGAAACCAACTACCCGGAAAACAACATGTAAGCCCAAGACTGTCCATCATATTTCAATTCTGTCCTAAATCTTTTCCTGACCTGAAAAACGAAGCCAAGAAAACAAACCCAAAGACAAGGAAACAAAAGAACGCAAAAGAACAATCAAAAACTACAAAAAACAATAAAAAAACAACAAAGCCGTAAATAATACGAGAAGGAGGCACATAATCGAGGCGGCAGCCACGGAAAAAAAGCATCAACCACTGACAAAGAGGTTGAACCCCCGCCACACACGTGCACCGCCTGCTCCACACATACACCCAAAGAACAAGGCAGACCGCCAAAGAAAAAGAAAAGCAACGGAGGTAAAGCAAAACAAAAAAACGAACCGCAAAACAGGAAAACTAGCAGTGCCATGGTCAGGAACGCAGAGCAGTCCAATCGAAAGAAAACCAAGAAAATCAGGACACACATAAGAACCTCATAACCCACAAAACAACAACTCAAAGGAGGACCCATCAATCCAAGGCAGCCACAACCGGAAAAAAGCAACAAAGCCTGCAAAAAAAAAAGAAATAGAACACTAACAATTACAGAATAAAAGAAGAAATACAGATTGACAGAAGATTTTTTTTTTCTTTGTGGCATTTACTTACATACGTTAGAAGGTTTTCAGCATAATTTGGGTTGGAGATGCCTGCATTCCTTTTGCCGCATACAATTTCTAACATCAACACACCAAAGCTAAACACATCTGATTTCTCAGAGAACTTCCCATGCATTGCAAACTCGGGCAATATGTAGCCACTGTAATATGAAATCATATCATTTTGATGAAAAGGAGTTCCTGGTTGGTATTCACCAAACAAAGAGTGGAAAGATTTTGAGATGGGGAACTTACTATGTGCCAACAATTCTCTTTGTAGGTTCTTGAGTCTGATTTTCTTCAATAATTCTTGCCATACCAAAATCTGAAATTTTGGGTGTCATATCCTCGTCCAACAAGATATTGCTGGCTTTTAGATCACGATGTATGATCCTGAGCCTTGAATCGGTATGAAGATACAGGAGGCCCAGAGCAATGCCTTTTATTATCTTATGACGTCTTGGCCAATCCAGTTCTGCTCTTTTCTCAGGATCTGTACACATTATATTGCAGGCTTAGGAACTGGATTGACAAGTTAAATGCATTTCAATTGTAGAAAAGAAAGTTGAATGCAGAAATATGTTAAGGGTCTGACCAAATATGAAGTAGTCAAGGCTTTTGTTGGGAACAAATTCATAAATTAGCATCCTCTCTTTTCGATCTGTGCAAAATCCTAACAGCCTAACCAGATTCCGGTGCTGAAGTGTGGCTAACAATACAACCTCATTCCTAAATTCCTCCCCACCTTGTTTGGAGCTTCTTGATAGCCTCTTCACAGCTATTTCTTGTCCATTAGCACATACCCCCTGATTAAAACACCATAAGCAATCTCAAAACAGTTCCTCTCCATGAGTTTCTGTATTCAGCTTGATATTTTTCAAAATCTAGAACCAATTAATTGTTGTTGAAATGAAGAATGAACTTGCAAACAATCCTCACCTTATACACCCTGCCAAATCCACCAGTACCAATTATGTTAGCATCTGCAAAGTTGTTTGTGGCATCTTCTATAATACGAAAATCAAATTGTAATGACTGGTCCCCTGGTTTCCTTCCAACTGAGAATCCCACCAAAACAATGCTAAAATCACAATAGGAATTGGACTAAACCAACAAGAGCAAGTAAAATAATGTATGAAAATAAAGCAATTCTACTTCAACTTATACCATTACGTTTCTTTAGCTGTCTATTTTTCTTCTTCCTTGCTTTCGAGATTAGTATCCAACACAAGCCAATGGAGAAAATCACCAAGGAACCAACTGTTGAAAAAATAACGATGATAATGGAACCTGATGAAGTCTGCCCTTTCCCTGTTCAAAGAAGAATTTCACATTCAAAACCCCACAAGCCAACAACTTATAAGCTAATTATCACTGGATCAATTTCTTAATCAAATCCTCTATAATCTACACTGAAAAATTTTCTCCTGTTCGAATTCAGCTTTTTTCCCTTTTTTTCCCCAATCTTAATAACCTGACCTATAGTTGGAGGGTTTACAGGATGACCAACAAGCGGCGTAGATGGAGGCGCTACAGCTTCATTTAGGTTATAAAAAGGGGTAACTTGATATCTAAGAATACAACTTGGGTATAATGCAAACCCCGCCACTCTTCCGCTGCAACATTCCGGCAAGTCTCCGATCGCAAACTGAAGGCATCTGTTGCAACCGTCGCCGGAAATATCTGGCGAACACTGTGCGAGGCTGTACACGTCTTGAAACTCATTAAATTTCACTTCTTTGGTCGCAAACTTCTTAGCCCCAACCGAGGCGTTCGCAGCCTGATTTGCAATATATGTCGCCGCCCCCGCCACGAGCTGGTTGAATCGGTCCGGTTCTGAAACATTCTCACGAATCTTCAAATCTATTTTTGGGTCAGTGGCCACGGTCGAGAAGATCGACCGGTTCGAGTAACGGACAATGCAACGCCCGTACCAGATTACGGCCTCATACCCTGTGGGGCAAAGCTGAGCTACATCGTTGGCGGCGGAGGCAACACAATTCTGGCAAATTTCCGTTGAAACATCACCGCGACAGAGAAAGATGCCATACACGGTGTTGGGGTCTTGTCCAGCGGTGGTGTTGTAGAACCCATCACTGGTACTTTTGGATGCGTTTAAGAGAGAAGAGAAGAGGTGATAGAGGTTGGCTCTGTAGGTGCTGTTTCCCGCTAGACTAGATGAATTATAACAGAAATGATAGAGGTAATCATAGTCCTGTGCACATACGAGGGTAAGAACAGAGAGAAGCAGAAAAACAAAGGGAAATCTGAAGGAGAGTATTTGATCAATGAGCATCATCAATTTCGTATTTGGACTCCAAAAGACCATGGCCAGGATCGAAACGGAGAAACGAGGGGAGGAAAGAAGTAGAAGAAATGTGGGTCCCTCGGTCTTTACATGTAAATGATGTAATCATGTATATTGCGCCGTGTTGACATTTCTATTATCTGACGTGGCGAAAATATCAACGTTATTACTTAACAGCCGTTTGCCATATCAGCATAAGTTTAACGGCAGGACCAAAGCGACCCAAAATAATTGAGGAGGGATGAAATCCACTTGGTTTTGAATCTCAAAGAATTTGAGTGTATTAAACCTAAAATTATAATAACAATTTGGAAGTTCATTTTTCTATTGTCATTTTCATGAAATCAAGAAAGACTCGGGGAAAATCTCATTTAGTGGGAATTGACAGAATAATGTGCTGCCGTGGTTTGAAGGGCATCTACTCTTAAATCCTAATCAGATGCAGTCTTTTCAAACCATTGAAGATGAAATGGATTGGCACCTTGTGGAGAATTAGGCAGAAGAATGTTGATGGTGATAGAGGTGAATGCATAAACTCAAAAAATTAGGTGCGTTTAAAAGGCCGAATCTACACTATTTCTAGCCCAACTATTATTGTTTTTCGTACCTCAAATATTATTTTTTTTATCAATATATTTCAATTTTTGAAACTTATAAAAAACTTAAAAATTAACCACTAAACTCTCTATTTGTATCCTAAGTTTTCCAATAATTTAAAATTTTTTTATTAATTTTAAATTATAAAAATATTAATCAAGAGTAAAAATTTTAAATGATATTAATTAAAACAATAATATCCACAATATAAATAGTGAATTCACTCTATTTAAAAAGAATTCGTATTTTATAATTCTATACATACAATTTAGGATATTTTAAATCAGGTATATTTTATCATGGGACCAACCAACCACCTAAGAGTCTTTGTTGTCCAGCAATTTTTGGATTGGCTTAATGTCACTAAAAATACCTCAACGTTACAAAAAGAGTCATTGTCATTATATACTTCAAAAAAATTCATAAAAATCCCTCAACTTTAAAAATGACAAACATCATCCCTCCGTCTTAACGCTGTTTCTTCATCTGGGGGGTAAAATATATATTGGTCCTTCAACTTTTAGTTCTAGTGGACTTTGATTCTCAAACTTCAATTTATTTAATTTGGTTCTCAATTTTAACTTTTTCATTAGCCTTTAGTCCCTAAACTTTTTAATGAATTATACTTAAGTCTTAAACTTTCTAATGTCATGTATTCTAATCATTTTTTACATAGATAATAAAAATTATGTAAAATCTAATAAAATTGCATTAATCTCATCCAAATATCAATAAAATTAAGACAAAAATAATAAACTAAAATATGTAAAATTCATAAGATTAAAGCAAAAAATTAAATCTTTGATACCCAATTTGGAAACCTTAAAAATAAAAAATGACATCTAACTCTCTACCTAGACATAATTCGCAAAAAATAAAAATAAAAACTATAATCAAGAAAAGGGTTAAAAGGAGGTGTTTGTCTTATTTTCCTTGTTATACTCTTATAATCGTAGAAACAATACCCAAAATTATTATCCGTTCACGATGTTTATATGATCACATTTAACCTACGCTTACATAGGGATGGCAATTCTCCTTAATCCTCGTTGGGCCCTGTAGGGATCCTTGTTGCAAGGGTGAAGTAGGGTGGGGAGAAATCTTCCTTCCATAAATGTATGCAAGGAATTTTCTAGTGAGTCCCTATGAGGATCCCCGTTTCCTATATATATATATATATATATATAAAAGTTAATGAAAGTTTAAGCTTATCTCAACCCCATACAATTACAATAAAATTTAAGTCCAAGTTCATTTTAGCCCAATTTACCTAACCCAACACATTCTATATCTAATTATAATAAGTTTAAGTTCAAGTTCTAATGAATTAATGTAGATTAATCAACCCAACAAAAAGGGAAAATGAATTAATGTAGGTCAATCTAAAGTTAAGTATTTAATTCATTATTGACTATGTTAAATTGTAGATCTAACAAAACTCCATCTTTTAATTTTTACAATGTGAATTTGAGATATTGGGAGCTAGAAGATATTCTTAAATGTATTAATTTTTGAAGTGTGTTTATAATTAACTCTATTGATTCAAAATTTTATGTCTATGTAATATTTTTTAAAAAAGTTTTTTTTTAAGTTATCTAGAAAGGGATTGAAATTATACTTGAAACTGTGATTAATGAATAATAGAGATCCTCATAGGGAATAGGGACAGAGCAAAATCTGTCCTCCAATCAAAAGTTCCAATGGGGATGCTCATTCTTATCATTCATGGGGACGATAATGAAGATGAGGAAGCACTCTTTAGTCTTGTGGGATCTTATTACCATCTCTACATTCACAAGTCATATCCACATTTTCTACAACTTTATCATTTTTGTTGTTACAATTCACATGGTTCCACATTGAATATCAAAGCCTTTTTTAGGATAAGTTAATGCAATTTTATTAGAAGTTATACAATTTTTATTAATTGTGAAAAAATGATTGAAATGCATGAAATTAGAAATTTCACAACTCAATTGCAATTTTTTCAAACTTTTAGGGACGAAATTATAATAAGAAAAATTAAATTAGGGATCAAATTGAATAAATATAACGTTTGAGGATCAAAGGACATAGAAAATGAATGTTAAGGGACCAACAATGTTATTTTAGTGTTGAGATTTTGAGAATTTTAACAGCACGGTTGACGCAGTTAGGAAGTCCACGACCTAAAGGATGTTGGTTGCCTGTTTCTTCAAAATGGAGGGATTTTTAGGAATTCTTTTAATTTAGAGGGATGATAATGACTCCTTTTACAAAATTAGAACATTTTTCGTGACATTAAGTCTTTTTTTATTTAAAATTACATCGATTTAAATTATATGCATTTAAAATACACGTCTCAAATTCCAGTACACATTCCCGATAATAACCCTTGCAAATTTCATACAGAAATATCAGGATGCAATCTACTTCTGATACTAATCAGAAGATACAAGCATATTTTACATAAACAGAGGGCTCCTAGAGTTTCAAGCCAATTGGAAGAAAGCATCTCTCCCAGCACAAGGTCTGGGTTTCAAGTCCCCCTCCCCCAACAAGTGTACTTGTTCCAAAAAAAATAAGTTACACAGAAGATATATAAGTTGTATACTGCCTAATTTTACCGAGGGTCTATTTCACTAATTGAGACTTCATTTATTGAGTATTGCACTGGCCGACTTTTAGATTCATCAGATTCCAACATCTTTGCTGGCTCTGGCTCATCAGTTCTGCTAGGGAGGAAAAATGCAGGCTCGTTCGGTAGAGGTAGCGTGACTGAGTAACTGTTGAGCAAGAGCACAATGGTTGCCATTGTTGGCCTCTCAGCAGGATCTTCCTGGACACACAGCAAACCCATTTGGATGCACCTAATGACTTCATTTCTTGAATATGAATCTCCAATAGTCGTGTCCAACAGCTCCAATGGTCTCCCATCCTTCCAAAGTTTCCAAGCCTGCACAAATTCATCAACCAATTTAAAAAAATGTCATCCTTTATTCTTTTCTTCTTTCTTCATGGAAAATGTTGTTAACTATTTACAGGAAAAAATTAATTCAGAGGCTGATCTATACTCACATAGCTCAACAGGTCCCCAGCTCCTTCTGTTTGAGAAAAGTTACTGTTACTCTTGCCGCTTAAAATCTCTATAACTAAAACACCAAAACTATACACATCTGATTTCACAGAAAACTGTCCGTGCATGGCATATTCTGGAGGCATGTAGCCACTGGAAAAGCAGCACTAATGTTATATATAACAACAATAGAACACCAACGAAAACAGTATATCTCCTTGTATGTCTAAGTGTTACCAAAGGAGAAAAAAAAAAAAAAGAATTAGATTATCTGTCATTCAATTCTTTCATTTTTTTGTATCAGTGAGTCAATTGTAAGGATGTGACAACAAATGAATTGACTATGGAACTTAAACAATGGACTGTGGTGTTACTACTTACTAGGTTCCAACAACTCTAGTTGTGCTTCCTTGAGTTTGATCGACTCCAAAAATCCTTGCCATTCCAAAATCTGAAATTTTTGGGTTCATGTCACCATCTAGCAATACATTACTGGTTTTGAGATCCCGATGTATGATTTTAAGTCGAGAATCCTCATGAAGATAAAGAATTCCTCGAGCAACACCTCCTATTATCTTATAACGTCTTGACCAATCCAACAATCCTTGTTTATCATGATCTGCATAAGAATCAAGCAAACCAAATTTGTCACATATTTTTCTTGCATGTGTTGGAATTCTTTATAGAGAAGGTTCTTGCAAAAGGGTAGATGAGACAAACCGAATAGAAAATAGTCAAGGCTCTTGTTGGGCACAAATTCGTAGATAAGAATCTTCTCTTCTCCTTCCACACAAAATCCTAATAGCCTCACTAGATTTCTGTGCTGAAGCTTAGCCACTAGCACAGCCTCATTCTTGAATTCTTCAGCTCCTTGTCCAGAACTCCTCGATAACCTCTTCACAGCTATTTCTTGTCCATTAGGAAATCTACCCTGAAAATGTAAAACAAACAATTAATCACTAGTCCCAACATAAAAGCTTTCAATTTCTAAAATGAATTCTCTAGACTTGGCATGGTCAGTACCTTGTAAACCACCCCAAATCCACCTTCACCTAGTCTATTACCGTCTGCAAAGTTGTTTGTTGCAGCTTTAATTGACTTAAGATCATACTGCAGTGACTCCATAGTGGTAACATCAGTCACAGCTGCACAACCAGATACCAAACATATCAATCAAATTCTGCAAGACCTCAAGGATAATTCTGGAATATAGAGAAGATTAAAGAAGTCATGATTTTTCACCATTATCTCCCTGCACAATATCGTATTTCTTCCTTCCTCTCCTTGTTAGCAAGCAATACCCCACAACGAAAAGCAGAATAGAGACAACAACCGGGACAACAATGGCAACAATTATCACCCATGATGTTTTACCTTTTCCTACATAAGATATAAAATGTATCACCGATAAAAATTGAAACTTAGTTACTTATTTCACATTCAGTAGTTGGTTACCAAGAAAGGAGGGCAAAGATTGAATTTTTGCGACTTGCACATTCCTTTTAGGCTTACATTGGGTGGTCCCATAGAAAATTAATTTAGTACCCAATCTTTCTAAAATTGATGAATGGAGAATAGACCACGCCAGATAAGATATTTTAATTTGCAGCAAGAACAAGCTAACTTAAAAACAAGAATTAATTACTAAATTATGTGCTCAACTTTACATTTGGGTTTTTTCTTTTTCTTTTTTTTTTTTTAATTAAAAAACTTTACCTTTGGGGTTCATCACCGAACCAGGAGGAGAAGCAGATACCCGCGGCGGTGGAGGCGGAGCTGCAACTGCAGATTCATTATAAAAAGGGTAAAGTTCATACCTAACACTACAACTAGGAGTCACTACTCGTCCACCTATTTTGCCACTGCAACAAGTAGGGAGCTGTGCTATGGCTCGTCTGAGACAACTATTACAGTCCGAATTAGAAAGGTCCGGCGTGCACTGGACCAGACTGTACAGGGTCTGAAACGCAGAAATATTGACGTGCTCTGTGGCAAACTTTTTAGCCACTGATACAGCCTGCTTCGCCGTATCGTTCATCGTCGTCCCCACTACCTGGTTGAATCGGACCTGATCCGTGTCGTTCTGAGTATTTCTCAAATATTTGGTTGGCGTTTCACTCAGAGTGGAGAAGATCGATTTGTTGGAGTAGCGGAGGAGGCACTCGTCGTACCAAATCACAGCCTCTTTCTCAACAGGGCACTTCTTAATCACATCTCCAGTGGCAAACGTGACACAATTTTGACACGTAGTGGTTGAAACGTCGCCGCGGCAGAGGAAGAGGCCGTAGATCCTGTTGGGGTTTTCCCCAGAGCTGGTATTATAGAACCCATTGATGGCGGTGGCGTTGGACAAGGCAGAGAGGAGGCCATTAAGATTGGTTTGGTAAGTGCTGTTCCTGATGAAAGTGGTGGTGTTGGAACAGTTATGGAAGAGGTAAGTTGGACTGTTCTGAGCTTCAGCGGCAAGGCTGAGCAGGGAGAATACAGAAAGAGAAAGGAAGAATCTGAATAAAGACATTGTAAAGTTCTCTACGGGGGATCATGAATTCATGAGATAATCGAATTATAAGAATCTGGGTGATTCTGTTTTCAATTTGATTACTAGGAGATGTTGACGTGAGTGGTAAAGGGACAAGCTTTGACACAGTCAAAGAAGACTTTTTTGACGTTAGACGCAGGGCGCCCGCCAGGGATGTGGTTCATGCCTTTATGGTGCCACATAAAAATGTTAAAATTTACAAAATATTTTCTTTAAAAATATTAGTTTAATTATTGAAATAAAAAATATTTTATAAAATAAATTATATATTAAAAATTTAATTTATTTAATAAATTCATTAAAATATTTTTAATAAAATTATTTTTATATTATTTTTAAAAATATTTTAATAAATTTACATGACAAATTATGTTTTTAATATATAATTTAAATGATAAAACATAAATTTTTTATTAAAAATAATAAATTAACTACCACCCTTTAACTAATTTTAAATTAAAATTAATTTATAAATTAATATTTTTAAATATTACAATTAATTATTTAAAAAAATTATAACCCAATAAAATATCACTCAAAATAATCACAGTTAATATGCAGCCTTAACGCCACACACACTCCACCATGCCCAAAAAGCAAGTCTAGTCAACCCAATTGTTTAGTATTTTTATTCAGGTTGGTTGGAACGACTAATTACAGTACAGAGAGGGAAAAGGGCGAAAAGTTCTCATCGGGCCCTTAACTTGTCAGTTGTGGATAATCAGCCCCTAAACTAAATTTTGTGGAAAATCAACACTCAAACTCCTTAAATCATTTTCCATAAAATTTAAGCCCTTAATTCTTTTGATATAATTAATAATTAATTATATCAATAAATAAATAACTACACTCAATATTATATATTTCAAATAAATAAATAAAATTATTTATTTAAATAATACATAAAATTATATTAAAAGATTATTTTTAAATTATTTTCCTTAAAATTTAAGTCTAGCCGAGCCCTTAGTCATAGTGTCTACTTAGGCTCGGGTCCGTTAAGGATGGATGGAAACATGACATCAGCCCACGGAAAAGAACCGATTAACTACAACCGATTAGTTTCAGGGATGATGTTTCACAAAAATTAGTTCAAGGGTTCATTATCCACAACCGACGAGTTGATTCTTGATTGGCGTTGGCTGATTAGCACTTCTACTTATTTGGCATTATCGTCGGCTTTGTTTGGTATCGACCTTTCAGCGATGCACAAAGAAAAAACGACTTTTTGGTATTTTAGTTTATTGTTTTTGTATTTTTTCAGTGAGAGAATTTATTTATATATAAATTTTATTTATTATAT